GTGGGTAGACGTAGGTAGATATAACGTGACGGGGGCTCAGTGAGTGCATGTTGAACTGAATTGTTCCATCGGCGTTTGCCGGAGTGTAAGCACAGGCCTGCCTTCTGGGAATGTGCAGTCCATATGGGGGAGGAAACGGGGACATGAATGCTGGGGGTGGGTCAGAAGACGCCACCGAGAAGTGGTCCCTGCGAGGTGGGCTGGGGAGGTTCGGCCTCGGGGGAGCCCTCACTACATCCCTCTCCGCAGGTGGCCACGGACAAGGACAACGGCATCCTTCTCTACAAGGGGGACAACGACCCCCTGGCGCTGGAGCTGTACCAGGGCCACGTGCGGCTTGTCTACGACAGCCTGAGCTCCCCGCCAACCACGGTGTACAGGTGAGGACCACAGCCCTCCACCACGCAGGGGCTGCAGCTCCCCGCCTGCTTCCAGCCCTGCAGACGACGCCAGGGGTGACTCTGATGCCTCGTCTCACTCTCCCCCCCCCATACACACTTTTCCTCCCAGGAGAGGAGGGGGGGAGGGAGAAAGGGGCACTGGAGGAAGAGACGGGAGAGGAAGGCAGGCCCGAGGGAGATGACACCTCATTACCATAAGATAAATGGCCAGCTGGCTACTCCAGGAGCCCCATGCTCCAATGGGAACCAGTCTGCTTAATGAGATGCCCTTTTCAAAATGTCATCCTAATCTTTTATTAGTTTAAGAAAGAAAACAGGGGAGATTAGCATGCGACTCGGGGGAAGACATTCCAGAGCCCCAAGGGAGCAGGACCGCTCCTGAAGTGACTTTCAGACTGCTCTGAAGGACAGTCGTCCCTAAACATCAGTCCTTCCACAGTCGCCCTGATTCTTACATTATCCACATGTCAGCTGTACTAGTGCTTAACACGCTACTTTACATCAGCTTTAAGTCTGCTACATTTTAAATTTGGCTTCATGTTAAGTAATGTCTGTGAAATTGCAGATGTGCTAGTTCAGTAAGTGACAGTACATGGCCACCTTCCTGCGGGTGCCTGACTGTGCTCACCTGCCCCGCTGCAGTCGCAGGTCTATTCCAGGCTCCAGGGCAAACACACAGAAAAGCCCACCTGAGCCCCTACCTGCCCCAGAATGGGGACAAACTGCACTAATCCTCGGTCCTGACTTGTCAGAGGGACTTTAGGCATTACTTCCTATCCACAAGGCCAAGGGGCTCCGTAAGGTGACAGACTTGGGGAAAGTGGGCCGGGGTGCAATAGGGAGTGGTGAGGACTGTGGTAGCCTCGAGGGTGCTGGCTTTGTCTAAAGGGACAGTTGACCTCAGCTCCAGCAGATGCTGCAGATTCTCAAGAGAAGCTAGAAATCCAGGGTTTCTATGTGACATACCTCCATGTTGAAATGCTGGCCATTTTAAAACAGCACATGAGAGCTCTGTTTGGCGTTCAGCGCATGCTCCCCGAGTCTTAATCACCACAATCCATCCTTTGCCAGGGTCTTTGTCTCATTCGATCCTCAGCACAAACCCAGGCAAGTGTCATCACTCCTATCTCAGGGATGAGAAACCTGAGGCTCGGATGACGCCCTTGGCCCAAAGGCACACAAGTCAGTAAGTGGGCAGAGCTGGGATTCAAACCCAGGTCAGGCCCCCACCAAAACCTGCTCCCCCCGCGTGCTGGGGCACAAAGGGTGAGGCCAAGAGAGAGACAGAGAGACAGAGACCATGGCACCCTTGTCCAGGGGTGGGGGGCTGCAATGTAGGTTGTGGTCTCAGGCTGTTCACTAAAATCCCAGGAACTTTTTGTTCCTGTGATGCTCTGTCGCCACCTAGTGGTCACAACTCTGCATCCAGCTGCAGGAACCCAGGGCCTAAAATGTCTATTCGTCCCCCAGTGGCATAGGGTCCTGTGGCTTGGGAGCTTGGAGCTGAGTCTGGCCTCTACGACTTCCACTTTAAGACTTTGGTAGGGTCACCTTACATCTCTTATTTCTAGAATGGAGGAAACATTGTACCTCCCACGTGGGGGTTGCAGGTCAAGTGTTTAGCACAGAGTAGCACGTGTGGCCCGTTAGAGGCTCAACACACGCCCAGCGTTGCTATTAAAAGCAAAAGAGAACTGGACAGGCCACTCTGCCCAACAGCTGTCCTCACGAGCGTCCCAGACGGGCCACCTGGCCTGGCTCTGGCACCTCCCGTGGTCTCCACCTGGCAGTCCATGCTAGTTACTCTGGCCCAGCAGATAGAGGGCAGACTCTCAGAGCCCTTCCCTCCCTGAAATCCCTGAGCATCTCTCCAGGAGACTGATTATGGGACTCCCTCTTCTACTCACGTTTATGGTCCCACCTGAATAGATAAGACAGCATTCAGCTTCTCCTCAGCCATTCTCTTCAGCAAAGGGAGTACCTCATCCCCAAACCCCTCTGTCCCTCCCAGCCCTGCCAGGATAGAGGAGTGGAAAGAGCAGAACCCTGGAGTCCGAAGTTTTGCCTATGAATTGTTTCTGGACCACACTGGGCGGACGACCTCAGACAAATCACTTACCTCTCAGGGCCTCAGTCTCTTTATCTGTAAAATGGGATTATCTAGTAGCACTTCACAATTTATCGTGAGGTTTACATAACAGAAGCAAGCCCTGAGTGAGTGGCTGCTGCAGTCAGGGGCAGCTCCGGGAGGGGACCAGGTGGGCTGCAAAGCTGGATGCGCCTGGGTGGAAATCCCCGCTCTGTCATGCGGCAGCTGTGGGGCCTGAGGTCAGTTACTTCACTTCCCTGGGCTTCTGCTTCCTGGGTCGTGTCATGCAGATAACAAGCTGACCTTGCAGGAGAGTTGCAAGGCTCATTTCCCCAAATGTGTTACCCACACTGCTGCAGGCACGCGAGATGACCTGAGGTGGGACAAAGACCAACTGTTGACATTTTAACTATGAGATCATTTTTATTCATATGTACTAGAAAAAAATATAAATATCACACCAAGCTAATTTTTGTGTACAATATTCCTTAGAATGATGCTAGCGTTATATCCTTACTGATACTTGCGAGAGAAATGGAGCAAGTGAGGAAAATCATGGTCCTCACGGTGTGCAGGAGGGCGGGCACTGAGGTGGTCCGAGCATGGGGCGGCCTCAGCTCTGTGAAACACAGGAAAGAATGCAGATGACAACCAAATGCAATCGCTTTTCCTAGGCCGGGTCTTGTACTAGAAGGGGGGGAAAAATGTTATAAAAGACATTATGGGGTCCCAATGAAAAATTAGAACACAGACTGGTTAGATTCCAGTATGGTATCAATGTTAAGTTTACCAAAACAGAACTGTGCTTGCTTACGTAAGAGTATCCCTGTCCTTAGGGAATGCACAGGGAGTGTCTAGGGATAAAGGGCTACGATGGATGTAACTTACCTTTAAGTAGTTCAGAAAAGCTCTGTGTGTGTGTGTGTGTGTGTGTGTGTGAATGTGTGTGGAAATACAGTGAGAGTAGATGATAAAGCAGATGGGGCTAGAAGAATCTGCAGCTGTAATAGTTGTTCTCTGTACTGTTTATATTTTTGCACTTACGTGAGTTTGGCGTTATTTGCAAATAAAAAGTAAAATGAAGTGCAAGTTATCACAGTCAAGACCGGAACCCAGTGCCCACCGTGGGAGGCACACAGCCAACCCTGTCTCTCTCTCTCCTGCCCAGCGTGGAGACCGTGAATGACGGGCAGTTTCACAGCGTGGAGCTGGTGATGCTGAACCAGACCCTGAACCTGGTGGTGGACAAAGGAGCCCCCAAGAGCCTGGGAAAGCTCCAGAAGCAGCCAGCAGTGGGAATCAACAGCCCCCTCTACCTTGGAGGTAAAGCCTCCCCCTCTGCCACCCCCACCACTTCCACCTCTCCCCTGCCCTCTGTGCTCGGGCACCTGTACTCAGGCCCTCTGGCTGGAGTTTCCAGTTCTCATCTAGGCACCCACTGCCAAGGCAAATCAGGGCAGGCTTCCTGGAGGAAGCGACAACCAAGCTGATCCCTAAAGGGTGACTAGTCAGCTAGGGCATGGGGAGAAGAGGAGCGGAGAGAGGTCAGGCTCCTTCTGAGAACCACAAGTTGTTCGGGGCAGATGGAACGGAATGGGGAAGGAGACGATGGAGGCAGGGTCCAGGCCCTTCTATCCCTGGGCTGCAGGTCACATGCCCTGTGCTCTGCCACCTCCTGGGGCAATGTGAGGCTCAGCTGATACATTTGTAAGAACCTGTTTGAGATTAAGGCCAAAAGAAGCAGCAGCCCCCGGCCTGGCAGAGCCTGGCCTGAAACACAGCCCTGGGCTGGTCCTTCTCAAAGGATTCTGTGCAAAACAATGGCACCAAAACTGCTAGTTCAACACAGAGTCCAGAGACTTCTCCTACCCCCTGACACGGAGACCAGCTCCGGAGGGCTGGGCTGGCCCAGGAATGAGCTTTATTAAAAGCCAGTCCAGGGAAGGGCTGGAGCAGTCCCAGAGGGGACACAGCTTCTCTCCCAGTAAGAATCCCCAAAGTTGACTGATCCAGGCTGCGCCCCAGACCCCTGCTTCTGTCCCCAGCTCCAGCTTGCCTGCTATGTCCTGTGGGCCTTGTCAAACCCACCGAGGCCTGGTAGGGACATCGGGAGTGTGACCATCCACCCAGCTTGGGCATGGTCCTTCCCCATCCAGCCAGGGTCGCCGTGTGGCTGTGGGTGGCCACATCTTGTTTTCTAGAGAAATCTGAAATACGGATTTTTATGGGATATTTTCTATATTTAAATAATGGCAACAGTTCCAGTTTTTTAGAGTCACAGTGTGGGACAAAGGACAGGGGTCCTTGCCTAGACAGCGTCCAGGTGCTGGCCCATTCTCTCCACTGGCGCAGCAGAGGCCCGGGGCTGTGAACGCTTCGCCGAGGGGCATGGAAAGAGCTCTCACTCCAACCGGAGGGCTGGGCTGCTGGGGAAGGCGGGCAGGGGAGGGTCTCAGGCCGCCGTCCCGCCGTCTCCCCACAGGCATCCCCACCTCCACGGGCCTCTCGGCCCTGCGCCAGGGCACAGACCGGCCGCTGGGCGGCTTCCACGGCTGCATCCACGAGGTGCGCATCAACAACGAGCTGCAGGACTTCAAGGCCCTCCCGCCGCAGTCGCTGGGCGTCTCGCCCGGCTGCAAGTCCTGCACCGTGTGCAAGCACGGCCTGTGCCGCGCCGTGGAGAAGGACAGCGTGGTCTGCGAGTGCCACCCCGGCTGGGCCGGCCCGCTGTGCGACCAGGAGGCCCTGGACCCCTGCCTGGGACACAGGTCAGTCGGGCCCCCCCTGGCCCCAGCGTAGGCTCAGTCCCTGCCCCCACCCCTGCCCCACCCGAGGAGTGGGCGCCGATGGCAGCCGGAGGGACCGTGGTCAGGTTGTAGACGGGACCTGCACAAGCGTGGCTGCTGAGGCCCGACTGACACCCACAAACCGGGTCTCCCGCAGGCGCATGGGGCTGCCCCGCCCAGCACATCCGAAAACCGCCCGTTACGGGGCACACCGCCCTGCCGGCCCTGGCATCCAACCCGCAGCGGGCACGCGGAAGGGGGGCCCTTCAGGCCAGACTCAGCCCCCCCTCCGCCGGCGCCGCGCGACCCCGGGCGTGTTCGCCAGGCCCAGGCCCAGCCGCAGCGCACTCGCGCTTAGTCTCCCGGATCCACACCCGACACACAGTCGCAGAAGGCCTACTGTGTGCCCGGCCTCGTGTGAAACTGGGAGACCTAGAGCCCCGGCGTTAAGAAACCTGCATCGGCCAGAAGCAGGCGCTGAGCCGAGGCTGGTGGTGCGGCTGCGCGGGGAGCTGGGAAGCGATGTTGTGGATCAGAAACGAGGCCCGGCCGCGCGGCTCTTGCGCGTGGGCGTAGCGAGGACCC